TATTATTTACTCATTTTTGAGAGGGAAAAATGAAAATATCAATTGTTTTCAAAAGTACGCTTTAGAGAAACACAGAGGTCCCCGTGGTATCTTCCTCTTATTAATCCAAGCTCAGGTAGCTTCTTACAAGTCTTGCTTGTTGTCAGAAGCTACAGGTTGAGGACCAGCAGAATATCTAGCACCTCTGGCTACTTATGTAGCAGTGGGAAAGGATCTGCTTTCTGTCACAGCCATGACGATCTCTTCCTCCTGTCCAAGATTTTTAAAGCTAGTTAGGGAAAATACTTCTAATCTTTCTACTGTGCTATCCTAAGGTGTGGAATTTTCCCCTTGGGTTAAAAGGAGGTATTACCCTGATACCCAAGTAGAGAAGGAAAGCAGTTCCTTTTATTCTTTTTTTCAGAGCAGAATTAGCTATTCTGCTTCTTATGAATAAATTGGCTGGGCCCGGTGGCTGGCTCATGCCTATAGTCCTAGCACTTTGGGAGGCCGAAGTAGGAGGATCACTTGAGACCAGGAGTTTGAGATTACAGTGAGCTGTGGTCACACCACGGCACTCCAGCCTGGGTGACGGAGCGAGACCCTGTCTCTTAAAAGAAAAGAAAAAGTTATTTATTAGCTCTTAATGGCAAATAGTGATGAACGTCCCATTTTTAAGAACTTTGGGCCAGACTCCATGATCTCCTTTCAAACATTATTCCATATAATCCACATTTCAACCTAATGAGGTAGGTTGTTACAGAGCTCCTCTTTTTATAGATGAGAAAACAGGCTTTGGAGAGAGTAAGCACGTAACCTTTGAGTGATAGAGCACAGAGTCTAGACTTTTTAGACAAGAGCTAGGGGGCCAGCTGGGGCTTTAATTACAAAGAACCTAAAATAGGCAGATTGTGTCCCGTTATCACAGAATGTTGTGAAGTAGAATGTAAATCTGGTATTGTGCAAACTACAGATTTCAAGTGGTTCACACAGCTGGAAGACGTGGAAATTTCTCATTTCAAAGGAATCCATGCTCATTTCAGCATTATTTGGCACCTCTTCTCCAAATGCCCATTATTAAGGATCAGTGAAATAAATTATGCTATATTAATGTGACGTGAGATACTTTTCAGCCATTAAAAAGAATATCTATCTAGATATACTTACATGGAAAAATCACCATGAAAGAAGCCCATTGCAGACTAATAAGTACT